AAGAAGAACATATAAACGTGATCTCACTAACTTCTAGCAGCTAAATGTGTCTGGAAAAATATTCAAAGGCTTTTATCCTCACAAACCGCGCGGACGTAAATGCGTCTGACTGTTGTGATTGGCTAAAGCAGACGTCTCACGCCAGCACCTTCTAGACGTGCACGCGCTTATTATGGGAATCTTCCTTCTGCATTCACACAGCGCAGCATTCCGGCAAATTGCCGGTAATGTTACAACTTCTCTTTCTGGAAAATAGCCAGAACGAATTTACCAGTATTTTCAAAAAGGACCTGTTCACACATACCTTTCCGGAAAATTGCCGGCAATTTTCCGGAAAGGTCTGTATGTGTGAAAGGGGCTAATGGTGGACGGCTGCTTCTCACTAAGGGCTGTTTATGCTAATGACGGAAAATCGTCACTAATGGGTGGGGCCTTCCCCCACTGATAACACATACAAAGGAAGAATGTTAATCAAAGTGTTTCTGCAGACTGTTTTTATCAAGTGTGATTATAAAAGGTAGAAATAATTCATTTTTCCCCACTAGAGACTGGCTATATTCAGAAACTGCGGCCACACAACTGTGTTTAAACCCCTTATGAAAGTGATTTTTGCATAATAGGTCCTCTTAAAGACAAAAAGCATGGAGATCTTCTGTTTCCCTTCACTCTCTAAATCCCTATCCGTCACTTTCCTGCCCTCTTTCACACTGACGCAGGACTCTTTCCTTCAACTTCACACTCTCATTGTTCACTGTGACCCACAGCACAATCTTCCTCTTCCACACACTTCCTGCTTCCTGCTTCTGAGCAGAGCCATTTCCTCCGCTTATTTGGACTAATATATTCAGAATCAGGGACTTTGGTTCCCTATCACGCTCTTAGACACATGTGGTTGCAAGAAAAGACGAAATCTTCTTAGTCTAATGTTTTCACAGTCCCTTTGAGTCACTGTGTGTGTGTGTGCGTATCAAAACACACAGATTGTAAGCTGAACTGATGCCTGCCATATACGTAAACTTTCCATAGTATTACAAAGTCAGTGTGTTAGAACTGGAAGCATGAAAAAAGGTCCTCTCTGGTCTGATTTAATCTTTCAAATCTCAAGCATTACACTCCACCCACATCCATTTAACAGAGGAAGAGCTCACATACTAATGGAAAGGCTGTCGTATTTTATTAACCCTTATGTCCTTGTAGACTGACGTAACTATTTCTTCTGTGGGCATCAAAGACTATGGGACTTTGAGAGGAAATATGTGGTCAAGCTCCAAATAAAAATTAAGAAAATAAGGAATATAAACATCTCATATGAAACCAGAAACAAATATTTTCAGTGAATAACAACTCAAAAATAAGCATGTTCCTCCATTTATTATTGGAAAATAGTATGTATTTATTATATGATGATCAATGCACTCAGCGGCCACTTTATTAGGTACACCTTCCTAGTACCGGGTTGGACCCTCTTTTGCCCCCTGAACTGCCTTAATCCTTCATGGCACAGATTCAACAAGGTACTAGAATTATTTCTCAGAGATTTTGCTCCATATTGACATGATAGCATCATGCAGTTGCTGCAGATTTGTAGGGCGCACATCCATGATGCGAATCTCCCGTTCCACCACACCCCAAATGTGCTCTATTGGATTGAGATATGGTGACTGTGAAGGCCATTTGAGTACAGTGAACTCATTGTCATGTTCAACAAACCAGTCTGAGAGGATTCACGCTTTATGACAAGGTGCTTTATCCTGCTGGAAGTAGCCATCAGAAGACGAGTACACTGTGGTCATAAAGGGATGGACATGGTCAGCAACAATACTCAGGTCGGCTGTGGCGTTGACACAATGCTCAAGTGGTACTAATGGGCCCAAAGTGTGCCAAGAAAATATCCCCCACACCATTACACCACCACCAGCAGCCTAAACCGTTGATACAAGGCAGGTAGGATCCATGCTTTCATGATGCTGATGACAAATTCTGACCCAACCATCTGAAAGTTGCAGCAGAAATCAAGACTCATCAGACCAGGCAACATTTCTCCAATTTTCTATTGTCCAATTTTGGTGAGCCTGTGTGAATTGTAGCATCAGTTTCCTGTTCTTAGCTGACAGGAGTGGCACTCGGTGTGGTTTTCTGCTGCTGTAGCCCATTTGCCTCAAGGTTCAACGTGTTGTGCGTTCAGAGATGCTCTTCTGCATACCTCAGTAGTAACGAGTGGTTATTTGAGTTACTTTTGTCTTTTCTTTCAGTCTGGCCATTCTCCTCTGACCTTTGGCATCAACAAGACATTTGCACCCACAGAACTGACTGGATATTTCTGAAATACTCAGACCAGCCCGTCTGGCACCAACTTGCCACGTTCAAAGTCACTTAAATGACCTTTCTTCCCCCATTTTGATGCTCGAATTAAACTGCAGCAGATCGTCTTGAGCATGTCTGCATGCCTTAATGCATTGAGCTGCTGCCATGTGATTGGCTGATTAGAAATTTGCGTTAATGAGCAGTTGGACAGGTATACCTGATAAAGTGGCCGGTGAGTTTATATTATATATGAAAATATTTGCATTTAATGAAACACGCAAACATATAAAGTATTAGCATATTTAAATTCATATTTTAATATTTAATAAAATATTAAAAATTAAATATTTTTTAAGCTGAAATTTCATAATTATTGCTTCATCGATTATAAATCATTATATAATATGCTAATTTGCTGCTCAATATTTTTTTATTATTAGTATAAATATATTTATAGTTAAATTAGTTAATGCATTGGCTAACACAATAAGCAATAAATCTGTATTTCTACAGTTTCATTTCATTAAAGTTGGTTTACAGGCTTATAGTCCCTTTTTTTATCAGGGGTCGCCACAGTGGAATGAACCGCCAACTATTTCGGCTATTTATACGTTTTATGCAGCGGATGCCCTTCCAGCCACAAGAAGAATTGGGTAAACAAAATTGGGTGCGTCCTAGTACTGGGTTGCAGCTGGAAGGGCATCCACTGCATAAAACATATGCCGGAATAGTTAGCGGTTCATTCCGCTGAGGCGACCACTGATGAATAAGGGACTAAGCTGAAGGAAGATGAATGAATGAGTCACTTTAAGGGTCAGACAGTATAGAAATGCCATCTTAAATAGACAGCTCAGCCAAAATTAAAAACACTGCTATATTTTCTCACTCTTCACTCATTTCAAGTCTGTTTGGTTTTCCTTTAGCTAAAAACACAAGAAACTTAAAAAAAAAAGTTGGTCACAGTTTTTACCTATTGATATCAAAAACTGCTGGCTTTCAATATTGTATCCTATTCCAAAATATCTTCTTTGATGTTCAACAAATGAAAGAAACGTATAAAGATGTGAAACCAAACTTTAATTATTAGATTAAGGTTTGAAGTCACACCTCCACACACTCAAATTACTTTTGCTGCTTGTGTAGTTGAAACAAAACTATTCTTAAGATTTATTGGAGGACAACTTACTTGTTTTATGTTCAATACACTTCAATTTGTTAAGTTGATTAATTTACTTAATCAATTTGTGTTGGGACAACATGAAGGAACTTTGTGGAATCCAGCTTTTTTTTTTTTTACAGTGCAGTTTCACTTTCTTATTGTGTGTAAATTAGATATATTCTTCATATTATTATAGAAGAACATGAAGAATATAGCAGTTTCTAAATCTCAGTGTGTGTTTGTGGCCCTGATAGAGTCGTGATTACCCGTGCAGGGACTTGAGGGCCGAGGCGGGAGTGTTTATGCCGGTCTGAGTGGTTTATCAGCTCCAAACACTCGCAGGATTTCCGCTTTGGGATTGTCCGTCCAATTCCTGAGTTCCACAGGAAGCGCCGAATAAAAAGCATGAGAAAAACGCCCAAAAGCATCTCATTTCTCGGCAGTCGGATCACGGGGAGCATCGGGACGGTCACCGCGCGGTGCTCTTCATCAGACTGAAGAAGAGTTTATAAGAAATGCTGGCGATGGAGAGGCGCGTCAGAGCGCGCGACAGGTGGACCGAATGGCCTCGGGCTCGGCAAGGCATCACGTGATATTACTGACAGGGTGAGTGTTTGAATAAGTTTTATTTGCATTGATTTTTTTATTTGTGTTATGAAAACAGGTTTCTATATATAGTTTACTTTATGCAATCAATTATTTGAACGGTTGAGAAAGAGGTCTCTGACTGGCAGGACTTTAACAATTACTTAGAGATAGAATGAATAATTCTAAAATAGGTAATTACTTAAATGTATTTATATACTGTTTATATTTATAGGTAAATATTTTATAATTCTAAATTCTATTATCCAAATTGTTGCCACACACACACACACACACACACACACATATATATATATATATATATATATATATATATATATATTCATACAGACAGACAGACAGACAGACAGACAGACAGACAGACAGATAGATAGATAGATAGATAGATAGATAGATAGATAGATAGATAGATAGATAGATAGATAGATAGATGAAGTGCTGTCTAAAATTTTCCTCTGAAATGAGCATTTACCTCTGCCTCATATGCAGTTATTTCACATTAAAGGCAATAACTGAAAAAAGTGTTGCATGCAGAACTGTTGCAAACAATTTGTTTGTGTTGAATTTAAACAAACAAATTAAATTGAATTATGTTCAACACAAATAAACTGTTTACAACCACTTAACGTAAAAAAAAATTGAGTAAATCCAAGCAATCATCTTTGAATCATTTTTTTCAGTGTAACCCATTCATTGCCATAATAGTGAAAGCCTGAGGAAAAAAAATAGCCGGCACTTTGGATTTTAAGTCTTCATACAAAGTAACATTTTTACTAATGTGAAATTATTTGAATGTCTTTTTTTTTTTTTTTTTTTTTTTGCTAATAGCTTCTTAATAAACAGACATTCAAACAATGAATCATGAAATAAAAGTTATTACAATGTGTCTTTAACTTAATATGATTTTATGTAAGTTGCCCAACTGGATTTTAGCATAGCGTTTTTCTTTTGTCCCTGCTTTCCTTAATTTTAACCATCGTTTCACGCCGTGGTGTAAACTGAGCTGCTGTTGCGGGTGAATTCCAGCGGCGATTGCGTCACGCGGGTCTCCGTCAGCGCTGGCGGGAGTGTTTCTCCGGGACGTCCCGATGAAGGAGGGGCAGTAGTGGTGCGGTGACCCCCCTGCTTGCTTTGACAGTTCTGAGAGACTCTACTGAGAGTGCAAAAAAACCCTCCTGAACCGAGCAAGCGGGACCCGCGCGCAGGGTTTGAGTATCTCGTGCCAGCGTAAATTTGGGCACATGCGCGTTTTGGGACTGTCTGTAGATAAGATTATTCCTGAGTTTGGTGGGAAACTTTGTTTTTTGGGACTCGCTGGGGGACCAGTCTCTTACATCCTCGCAGAAGCGGTTAATCTCGTGGACAGGAGCAATCCAGTGAGTCATTGTGCAAATAAATAGCCTATTTTAATGGTGTGCATAATGCATGCGTTAAGCGCTGTTTTATTATCTATTTACGCAAGCAACTGCTTAGCACTGGTTATTGTGTGTGTGTGTGTGTGTGTGTGTGTGTGTGTGTGTGTGTGTGTGTGTGTGTGTGTGTGTGTGTGTGTGTGTGTGTGTGTGTGTGTGTGTTACTATTTTTGTAGTGAGATCAGACTGAACTGGATCAACATTGGAATCTGTGAATGGTTGTAAATAGTGTTTTGGGGAAAGAGCACCGCCTGCTGGTCATTTGAATATTCATACACAGATTGTTTAGTATAGCATATTATTGCTGGATTACTTAGCATGCGTCCTGACCACTGACTTCCTTTGTTAATGTGATGGCTTGTGTTATTCTTTTTTTTAAAAGAATGATTTTTTAAAAACTTTTTAAATTCTTTTTGTATTATTCAATTCCATTTTTAATCCCACCGTTCTGTCAGAATTACTATATAGATATAAACACATTTCGCAACACGGCAAGAAGGTCACCGGTTCAAGTCCCGGTTGGGTCAGTTGCTACTTCTGTGTGAAGTTTGCATGTTTTCCCCGCGTTGTAGTGGGTTTCCTCTGGGTGCTCCGGTTTCCCCCATAGTCCAAACACATGTGCTATAGGTGAATTGGAACTAAATTGGCCGTAGTGTATGAGTATGTGGGTGAATGTGAGTGTTTGGGTGTTTCCCAGTACTAGGTTGCAGCTGGAAGGGCATTCACTTTGTAAAACATTTGAACACCACAGTTGGTGGTTCATTCCACTGTGGCAACCAATGCTAAATAAGAGATTAAGCGGAAGAAAAATGAATTAATTATTAAACACATTTTGAGAAATAATGTCAGAATTGCAAGATATTCCCTCACAGTTCAGACTTTTCAAACACACTCTAAAAATGCTGGGTTGTTTTTTACCCAACTTTGAGTCAAATATGGGCAAACTCAACATTGGATTAATTTAAATGACACTTTAAACCACTGATTGGGTTTATCCATATTTGACCCAACATTGGGCAAAAGTTTAGCATGTGTTCATGTTCTTGGCAGGTTGGATTAACCCAAATTCTCCTAAAGAATTCATTTTAACAAGTATGAATACTACTATTTAAAAAGATAGGTCTAAATCCACATCCAGATGATATCTTGTCTGGACAGTGTGAACGTTAAAGGGCAATGAAACCCCCTCGTTTCAGCAGGTGCTTTCACATCTCTACTTTGGAAAAAGTCAGAAAAGTGGGAGTGTCCAGCTCTGTTTAGGGGGGAGTGTCGGAGGAAGAAAAGTGGGATGGTGTGGGAGTGTCTATTTGGGCACGCGCGAGTTTCAGAGTCAAAATACACACACACACACACACACACACAAAGGAGAAAGTGATGGTGTTTAACCTACATGGACATCTGTAGTTGAATTATTTGCCAAATTATTAAATGGTGGACTTTAAGTGCAGTTTGGCTCTTTCAATTAGGGAATTCATTCATGCCTCTCGCGACAAACGAGATATTTGATTTGAGGAACTGCTCTAAGCGTGTATTTTTCATGCAATGTTTGATACCGCACGGCGAATGAGAGAAAAAAAACCTCAGCATTTCCCGGAAACTTAGATGCACACAGCAGGTAGCGTCAGAAAGCCGCGTGTGTTATTCCGGTCACTAAATACGGTGAAAACCCTACACGAGGTTAAAGTTTGGTTGTGGTGCTAACATGTTTACACTCGGTGCAATAGTTAACTTAGTTCGATACGAACAAACTGAATAAACAAAGAGCGCTGGGGCTCACTTACCAAATCTGTAGAGACAGAACAATCACCAGCAACTAGAGCCGCGTCTTTATGAAGAGAATACTACAAGCGAATCCAGATCTCAGCGTTTGCAGATGAGAACAGCTCTCAGGTAAACAATGTTCCTCCTTAGACACGTAAGTTATTGTTGTCGAGCGTCGCGTACACTGTTAATCCACACGTGACTCTAGATGAGCTCTCACAGAGAGAAAATGAAAATGAAACTTAACTGCAGCAAACTATAAAAGCAACACTTCACGCTTGTTTTGCCAATACAACGTGGTGTGAGTGTCGTCTAAACACTGTGACAGTAATGAATATTAATGAAGTTGCACAACAGAGCGCGCTGATTGGTTTGAACCAAGCCTTACTCATGCATTAATGCATCACACTGTAAGACGTAATAAGACACACTCTGGCACAGACGCCCAGTCTGCACGCTGGAATACACGCTATTATGTCATGACCGTGACGCAGCTTCAAAAATTAGTTTCAAACCAGAAGTACGAATTTGCTTGAAATAACGCAAAAACAACCAATTTACACTTTTTAGTGAAATATAGGTGTCCTAATAGTGTTATTAGCAGTGTGGGACACATATACGACTGTCAACAGCTCAAAAAATGTGTTTTGGTGTTTCGTGAACCAGGACTAAAAATATCCTTATACATGTTGCTACAATACAAGAGAACTGAACCACAAGTGTGAACTGTGAGCACACCAATAAACTTGCAATTAAAGCCAGAATTGTGAGATTTAAAGTTAAAAAATGCATGTGAAAAAAAGCTGTAAGACATCAGCATTTTAAAATTGTCTGTGGTTTAAACAAGATTGCATTCATACTATCTTTTATGCCATAAAAAGTAGTATATACTGCTAAGCAGTATGCTAGCATTCTATTCCAAATATAATCTCATGCACCAACCGCTGGCCCTCCATTAGTCGTAACTGCTTCCGCTTCTAATTAGAGCCATTATTTGTAATTATATGTAGCGATGTGGATCTAAATGTCAGTGTATGTTGACATACAGAGTTTACATTCATTTTGAGACTTTTTTTTACACTTTTGGGAACAAGGTGGCTCAGCGGTAAGCACTGTGGCCTCACAGCAAGAAGTTTGCTGGTTTGAGTCCAGGTTGGGTCAGTTGGCATTTCTGTGTGGAGTTTGCATGTGGTTTTCCTCCGAGTGCTCCAGTTTCCCCAACAGTCCAAAGACATGCACTTTAGGTGAACTGGATGAACTAAATTTTCCATAGTGTATGTGTGTGAGAATGAGTGTGTATGGGTGTTTCCCAGTACTGGTTTGCAGCTGAAAGGGCATCTGCTGTGTAAAACATATGCTGCAACAGTTGGCGTTTCAATTCGCTGTGGCGACCTCAGAAATAGAGACTAAGTCAAAGGAAAATGAATGAGTGAATGTACACTTTTTGTACAAAAGCCTTTTTTTTGTACACTGCCAAAATTATTTTCTTTTTGTACTATTGTTGTTTTCTATTGCAAATATCTCATATATCTATTTTTTTCTGTTATATAAAAAACATATAACAAATTAAGTTATTATTAAGTATCACATATAGCAGATTCTGTTAATGAGGGTAGAATTTAGTTTTTTTTTATTTGAACTTTGAACAATTTTATTTTATTTTATTTAAAATTTTATTTGAACAACACTTTTTTTTTCTCTAAGTTGAATTTCATCAACCAGCAACACACTTTTTTTTTTAATGGCACCTATTTTACCCCTTTTTCGAGATTTAAGATAAGTCTTTTAGTTTAGTTAGTTAGGGGTTCTGGTGGGTTAGATGTTGACGTACCTGAAGAGTTTGGAGGGATGCTGTGGAGACTATTTAAGGACCGGGCGGGAGACACGCGATTTCCGGGAGATTATTATTCATTTGCAGGCATCTGGGAGTATCTATGCATTTGCGGGAGACTCTCGGAACTTCCGGAAGTCTTGGAAAGTCTGTGATGTTGATCTTTTATTCAGATCTTTTACTAAGGCCCCGTTTACACTAGTGCGTTTTAGTTTGAAAACGCATAAGTTTTGCTACGGTTACGCCATTCGTCCACACTACGCCGGAGTTCTCGAGCGCCGAAAACGGAGCTTTTTGAAAACGCTGGAGAGGCCGTTTTCATTCTAAAACGCTGCTGCTCCGTCTCAGTGTGGATGGGGAAAGACGGAGACATCTGAAAACGGAGGCGGGGCTGCAAACGTTCGCCTCTCTGATTGGGGCTTTTCCTCAATATTAAGTAGCCTAACACACAGTTCAGTCTCGCATCATCTTCTTGTAAGTTAAGACTTCGCAAGTTTGATCAAGGCTGCAGTCTCCCCCTTCTCAGTTTGATATGGAAAACATATCGAGGACACGGGTAAATCTTCAAAGGGAACAGTGTACTTTATAACTTCATTCACATCACCCTGGTTGTTTCACTTTCTCAACAATAAAATGTAAACATGATTTAAGGAACTGCCTATTTTCTTTTTAATATTAGCAACTTAACAGACAGCAGACATGTTGAGGCGCCGTGCAGCATATATGAGCGTCATCTTCACTGTGTGGATATTTATAACAAAACGGAGCCGATAACAACTGCCTCCTTTCAATTTCAGTGAAAATAAGAAACACACCCTCTCTTCTGCTGAATATCAGTTTTAATAATCGATAATTATAAAAGTATAACATACAATAAGTTTATACATTGTAGGAAATAAAGGCAAGCGATCAGTCAATGTACCTGGATTAATCATTAACTTATCTTTGCGCTTAACCAAAACATGTTACCCGTGAACAAGTAACTTAATAGATTCCAATGACCAAAGTCAGGGAATATGTCGTTAGATAAAGACAACAACATGAATGAAATATCACGTTTAGCAAATATAGCGAGATTAGATCCAGCGGGAGATGCTTGATGAGCAGTCCGACAAGCAGAGCTCTCATCTGGGTAGAAATGCTGGAGCGCTTGCCCGAGTGTGTGTGTGTGGTCACTTGATGTGCGTTTTCAGCGTTTTGGTGTGGACGGAGAGCAGTTCAGAAACGCTGGGTAAAACACGAGTGTGGACGTGGATCGTTTTCATTCTACAACGCCGTTTTAAAACTAAAACGCACTAGTGTAAACGGGCCTAAGACAGGATGTTGCTTTCCGCACATCCTGTCTTGTTGACATAATTATATGCATTACTAC